AGGAAGCACGCTGGGGAGGAAGTGAGGGGTCTCTGTCCTTGACCCTGGCCCTGCAGCCCACGAGTCTGGCCTCTCAGCAGCAGCCCGGCCCTTCCCGTCCCCCCGGGTGAGAGGGCAGGCAGTGTGGCCTTGGGATAAAGGCAGTCTCCCCTGTATCAGCCCCAGGCACAGCCTGGCTCCCAGCTGGGGGAGGGCTGCAGGGACCACATCTGACCACCAGGTGTCAGCAGTGTACAGTCAGGGCCACTGGGCTGCCATCCTACGGGGCTGTCCCTCCAGGCCATTCAAAGGCCCCGGAGAGCTGAGGCCTAGACTGGGGCGCCCTGGCCCCTCGGCCAGCACAGAGCTGATGCAATACTGTCCCAGGGCATAGGGTGGGGGGCACCTGCCTGGGCGGATGGACAGATGGGCAGAGGAGACACCTCTGGGCCGTTTCTACAGGTACTCAGCTCAGTCCCCACTGCAGGGCTGGGAGACAGGTGGAAAGGAAGGCTGTGTTTGCCCTCCTTGAGCCCCGACAGGCAAAGACGAGCAGGCTGCCTGGAGGGCCACCCCTGCCCCTGCCAACCTCATCTCCCAGACCTGGTTTTCCTCTCTGTGAAGTGCCATGAAAATCTATCCACCTGGCCTTGCCTGGGTGATGTGAATTTTAAACCTGTCTCAGGACTCCAGGGAAGAATTTCTCAGCACAGCCTGGCAGCCTGGGTAGGCTTCCTGGAGGAGGTGCCAGGATTTGGGTAGGATCTTGCAGATCTTTGAGGATAATGGCGACCTCACCACCTAAATGTCCTTCCCCCAACACCTCCTTTTTCTGCTAATTCCCACTTGACTGTCAAGGCCTCTCCTCCAAGAGGCCTCCTGACAGCTCTCCTCTGAAAGGCTCTTGCTGAGTCAATCCTCCTCCTCGGCCTCCCAGCTGGGACCGCAGGCGCACACCACCAGAGTGTCCAGAGAACTCTGCTCTCTTTGGACAGGGTCTTGACAAGTCGTCCGGGCCAGTCTCAAGCTCGCACTCCTCCTGCCCCAAACTCTCTGGTGCTTAGGTTGGACCAGGAATTGAACCCGGGCCTCCCAGGTGATCCCAGCCTACAGAGCACATCTCAGTGGTGGCTGGGCTCCTGTTCCCTCTTCTTACCCTCTGGCTGCCATTGTCTATTGCACCTCAGCCCCCACCAGCTGACCCTGAGTCCTTGAGGGTGGGGCCCACACGTGAGCCTGGGCTGTGTCTGCTGACCCCACTGGACCCTCACAGCCAGGCCTGGCGCTCCAGGGAGACCCCTTGACTATTGCTGGAGGAGGTCTTGAACCCAGGTCTCTGTGGTCCAGGCAGAGATCCTGCTCCAAGGGCAGCCCCCAAGTGCCGGAGCCCGGCGCCCTCCCTGCCCACCTTCAGGTCGTAGAAGATGATGTCACCGAGCACCAGGTACACCTTCACGTAGTACAGCGTCTCCTCGTCGAACTCCAGCGGCGAGCTGCAGAGCGACAGTGCCTTGAGGTAGAAGTGTTCAGCCAGCTCGCCGTGGCCCAGCCGGTGGTGCAGGGCCGCCAGCCGGTGGTAGGCCACCCTCTCGTTCAGCCGGTACCCTGGGGCCGCAGGTGGAGGGGCAGGTTAGGGCGCAGGCCGGTCGGGGCGAGGATGCAGACACCCTGTCCCCAAGCACACCCAAGCTCTAACCGCCAGCCAGTCACTTCCCACCCGAGACCCACTTCTCCCATCTGTAAAGTGGGCTAGTGATGCCCGCTCCCATCTGCCCCGAGCTTTGGCAGGTGGTTTGCTGGTCCCAGCCCCATGCCTGTTTGTAGCAGCCTGGATGGTGTGCCTTTGGGTACTATTTTTTTTGTTTGTTTTTTATTTTGGGGGGGCGTGGAGGGAGGGTTTTGCTATAGGCCACGTGCGTTCACCAGATAGACAGAGATAGAAAGCGAGAAATCACCCCCCGGGGGGATAGCCACGCCATAATCCCTTCTCCCTTCTCCTCTCAGGACCCTGGGCATGCACGCACACGCGCCCGGCATGAGTTTTAAGCCAGCGGGTCCGGGACTCGAACTGCGGTCGGCTACATGGGCGTTCAGTGACATAGCCATTACGCTAACTACTGTTCCTGCCTTTGGGTACTGTTTTTAACTAGGAGACCCCAAGATATATAGCCTGTGTACTTCCAGGCACCAGGGCTCCGGCCAACCTGCAAACATGACATCTGACCCCTCCTGGGTGTACATCAGCCGAGCCCCCACCAGCCTCGGGGAGTCCCTGCAGGCCTGAGGCCCAGGTCTTCCCTTGCAGAGGGGTTGGCCAGCCTCAGTTGTCTCTGGCATCCGTCCCCTCCCAGGGCCCGTGCCTTGCAGCCTGTGCTCAGTGCATTCAGACACTGCTGCATACCTACTGTGTGCCTGCATGAGGTTCCGCCCAGCCCACTCTGGAGGAGGAGAGATGGGTACTGGGACAGAGGGACACCAGCATTAAGGGGTGGGCTTCTGGAGAGGGGACTGGATTTGGCCACCCAAAGACAGTGGTGGCTGATGCAGGTGGGGAAGGGTACGGGGCCTTTCGGAGGCCAGTGGGAAGCCTAGTGCCTAGGGCATAGGCACACGTTGGCACCTGTGGTCAGCAAGGGGCAGGGGCAAAGAAGCCATGGAGGGAGTTCTGTGCTTCCTGGGGCAGGGGCAGGGGTAGGGGCAGGGCAGGGACTGGGCAGGGGAGCCAGCCGGTCAGATCTGCCGGACACAGCCTGCCCACGCAGGAGGCAGGAGGAGCCTAGCAGCCATTTCTGCTCTGCCCACCAGACCTCGAGGGGGAGCCCTGGTGGGGCAGGGGCAGGGACTCACCCAGGGCGATGCTGAGTGCCAGGGCCTCATGGGCAAACTCCAGGCCCTCCTGGGGCGCCTCCAGCGCAGCCAGCAGCGCTACCAGCTTGTTGCATAGCCGCAGCTCTGCTTCCCGGTTACCTGTGGTCACCGCCAGGGGCAGGGCCCGGTCCTGCCCACACGGGGGTGGAGGGTGGGGTCAGGCTTCCTGAAGTGCCTGCCCCCCAGCCCCCCACACGCTCGGAGCACCATCCCCTACTCTCCCACTGGGTCTGCATGCAGCTCCTCTCCTGAGGAGAGGGGTGGCTCGGAGATGCCCTGACACCCTAGGCAGGGAACTGGGTGTTTCCCAGGCTGTCCAGTTACACCATGCAGCCTCAGACCAGCCCCTCCCACCTGGGCAATGAGGGCCTGCTGGGGGGACCCAGCACGGCTGTAAAACGGCACGTTTCTGCGGCAGCCCTGAGCCGCACGCTAGATGCTGTGAGGGGCAGAGGAAGGGAGGAGGCGTCCTCCCTGGCCTTGAACCTCCCCTTCAATGTGTCCCTCTTCCCCTCCAAACCTCACTCTCCTCATCTGTAAGATGGGGACAGGACTTCCCATCCAGGGTGGCTAGGGACCATCGGGTCAATGGAAGGTCAAGGCTGGGTCAGCAAACAACTTGCCCAGGCTGGGAGGGCGGTCAAGGTCGCTCCAGGCAAAAGCACTGGGGAGCAGCGTGTGCCATGGGGTGCTGCCTCCAGGAGGGAGGCCTCCGCCCTGCCACACCTGTGCCTCAGCCTGTCTCGGTAGCCACCTGGGGTCCACCCTCACCGACCTGCGTGGCCACTCACCCGGTAGAAGGACACGGCTTTCTCCCGCTCCCAGGTCCCATTGAAGAAGATGTCCCCGGCCGCCTCGAACAGCTCCAGCCCCAGGTTGGGGTCCCCCGTGTACAGGGCTGCATTCTGTGCCACCTGCAAGGATAGGAAGCTGTCCTGAGACCCAGAGCTGATGGCGGGGCCGTGCCCGCCCAGGTGGGACCTTCGCGGTGAGTCTCCTCATTCCTGTCAGTCCTGTGCGCGAGCATGAGGGGCCTTGATAGCTGCCCACGGGAGGCCAGTGACCGGGAGCACCTGAGTGCGGGGGACTCTGCCTGGCTGACGCTGGGAGCTCAGCAGGTGTGGGCTGATGAGGTACTTGCGAGAGAGCATGGGCCCAGCCTCCATTCCTCCCCCGGTGCCTGGCCTGCAGTGCTCTCTGCCCCAGGGTCACCCACGGCTTCCACCACATCCGGGCCCTTCTCCACTGCTGCCCCTCTGCACCAACACCTGACCAGCCGTGACTGCCTGTCACCCCACAAGGATGGGAGCCGAGGCCCCGGGCTCCTCTGCCATGTCCCAGGCCACCCACAGTGCGTGCATAGTAGCTGCTCAACAAACAGCTGCTGGCTGAACGCCTGCGTGATCCCGCCTCGTCTGCAGTGCAGCCAGGCCCAGCTGCCAGCAGTTTCCAGAATGTGCCGGGCTCTCATGCACCCTGAGCCTTTGCCCCTGTGAGTCCTGCACCAGGTGAGCACCAGCCACACCCACTCTGCAACCCGGCCTACCCTCGCAGTCCCTTTGCGTGTCACTATAACCATATTCCTGCCACAGCCGGGGCCTCATCTCAGGGCTGCTCACTATGTGCCTGGTCCCTTCCTGGCCGTGAGCTCTGACCCCGGGTCCTCAGCCCTTGGCTCAGAAGAGGTGCACAGCTGGTGCTAGAAAACGAGACCTCGCAGGCCAGCCCTGTGACACGATCATTAAGGCAGCCTTGGCCCGCGTGGCCAATCATACGGTTTGAGTCCCAGGCCTGGAAGCTTGAAAAACATGCTGGGCACCTGTGTATGTGCACCCCAAATCCCAATAGGATGGAGAAGGGACTGCCGTGTGAGCATGCCCCATTAGGGGGTGCTTTTGCCCTCTCCCCTTCTCTGTCTTTCTGACAAGCTCATGCACTCTCCTAATTTGCAAAATTAAAACAAAACGAAACAAAGGAGAAAAGCAAACTCAAGGCTCATGCACCCCCTAATTTGTTCAAGTCACGTATTTAGAGGAAAGCTTCTAAAACAGCTTCCATGAGACGTGCGTGTTTTAAGGAGACAAGCCCGTGCTGCTGAAGCATCATTTGCACGTGTATGGAGCACCAGCTGCGTGCTGACACGCCTGTGTGCAGTGAGGGGCCTGGGCTTTGCCCCAGGGAGCTCAGGTCCCTGTTGAAGACGCCAGGCACTACGGGAGACTGCGAAGGACGGGTGGGGGAGGCGCAGCCCCTGGTCCACAGCAGGTCCTCAGCAGGGCTTAGGGATGGATGGACAGATGATGGGGCGCCCTGCCTGGCCCCGCACCTGGATGTACAGGTCCACCAGCTCATTCTGCCGCAGGATGTAGTAGATCTTCCCTGCCTGCAGCCAGGCGTGCGCCTCCTTCTCCTTCTTCTGGAGGTCGATGAATATCCCCAGACTCCGCTTGGTGTAGTCCAGAGCAGATCGGTAGGCCCTGGAACCGGAGGCAGACATCAGAATAAGCGCCCCCAGGCCCACGCCATGTGGGACCAGCTGGGGCTCTTCCCACGGTGCGTCAGGTGACAGATGGAGAGGGATGTCGGCACTGGCCACGGCCCCTCTGGTGTGTGCCGCTCCCAGCCTTTCGCTGGCTGCTGGAGAGGTGGGAAGCACAGCACAGCGAAGGTGAGAATGTCCTTCTGGGGAAGACGAGTGTCGGTCAGCCCGTGGCCAGGAAGGGGGTGCTCCGTCTCTTCCTGCCATCCCACACCCAGCATCCGCGGCCGCACCGGGAGCCGGGAGTATGGGGCAGGAATTCAGATATCTAGGCTGGTGTCCCCAACTGTGAGAGTGTCAGAGTCACACAAGGGACATTCCACATGCAGACCCCTGGGCCCTGTGCCACTTCGGACTCCAAGGTCTGGGGTGGGCCATGAACATGAATTTCCACCCAGTGCCCCAGTGGGCCATCGTCCTCTGCTGGCCAGGGACTGCACGCGCAGTGTGGCTCCAATGCATGGCTCCTG